CCCCCCCCCCCTCCCCTGCCCCGGCCGCGTCTCTCCATCCAGACGAGCACCACTCCGATTGTCGCGCTGTGCCCGGCCGTTTGACCGCCCCGCGATCCCCAATCGCCGACCCACCCATTGGAGCGCGTGCGCGCACACCCGCCCATCCATCGGCACACGCGGCCCCTGATCGCCGGAGGAGGAGGAAATCGAGTCCCCCCCCCCCCTTACTTTCCCTTTTCCCCTTTCCCCGCTTTTCCCCGTGTCGGTCTCCCGCCCCGCGCGACACCCACACCCCCACCTGTTCACGGCTGTGAGCCTGAGGCAGAGGGTCTCCCTTCCCCCCCTGCCACTCCCCCCCTCCGAGCGCAACCATCACCGACTCCGACCATGTTGCTGGCGGACGGCCGGATGCCGTGGCGGCGCCATCGGCCCCCCCTTCCTCCCTTTCCCCCCTGGCCGGGCAGCCGGGCCTGAAGCAGCCGGCCACGTCGGCCGCCCCGCACCCGGGTGCTCGTGCTGCCCGGCAGACGGCCGCCCCCGCCCCCGCCCCTGCCCCCGGCGCCGATGATGATCCGCTGGTCGCGCTGGCCACCGCGCCTGCCACCCCGTACACCGCCCCTCGGGAGGACTTCCCCGGCGGCGTCTCGACGGGCATTGTCCGCCATGGCGGCGGCGGCGGCGGGGACTCTGCCGGAATCCTGCGCGCCGGCGGCGGCGGCGGCGGCGGCGGCGCTGGCCCTGGCAGCGCCTGCGACACCAGCCCCACGGGCAACACCCCGGCGCACGCCGGCGTCCCGGCCCACCCGGCGCCCGAGGCCTTCGCCCCGGCGATGGATAGCCTCGCCCAGCCGGAGCTCGAGACCCACCTGCGCCAGACCCTCTCGCAGCAGTACCAGCTCCTGCTCTCGACCAACCCGGAGATCCAGTCCTCGGTCATCCCTGTGATCTCCCAGATTCTGATCAAGTCCAAGGTATGTTCCCTCGTGCACGCACTGCCTCTCTCTCTCTCTCTCTCTCTCTCTCTCTCTCTCTCTTTCTCCCCCCCCCCCTCCCCCTCGCCCGCCCCTCGCCCGCCCCCGATCCCCTCTTGCTGACGTGCTCGGCCCGGCGTCAATTCCGCAGGTCATCAACTCTCTCAACGACTTTGTCGGGTCCTACTCCGGCCTCTCGACCGAGGCGGCTGATTCCTCGTACCAGCCAGGCGCCGGGTCCAGGCGTCCTGCCGCCGCCGGCCGGCCCCCCATCCGGGACCCCGGCCGCACTGGCGTCGATTCGGAGGCGGCTCCCTCGGGGTCCGTGTCTGCAGGCAGCAATGCATGGGCCCTGCCGGCGCACAGCGACGCCAAGATCAGTCTTGCCACGGTCCTGGCGGCCGGTGCTCGCCCCTTGGCCGACTCGCCGGTCCCGGTGGGCCCGGCGGGCCCCTCGGCCGGTCTGCCGGCGGCGCATCCGCTCCCGCCACCGGCGCCGCTGCTGGCCAGGTCGCAATCCGGGCCTCTCCTGCTGGGTCCGACGCCGGCGCTCGACATGCCAGCCGCGGCCGGGAGCCGGATCCGCGGCTCGGTCAGCCCGCCGGGGCTCGGGCTCAGCGCCCCCCCCGAGCCGAAGCCCTTTCTCTATGGCAACAAGCAAAGCTCCTACCATCCCCCGCCGATGTCCATCTACACGCGGATGAACTCTCGCCGGGGGCCGGGCCCGCTGACCGGGCCCGGCGATGTGTCCACCTTCGGGGCCCCCTCCCCGGGCTTTGGTGCGGGGCTGGGCTTCTCCGGGGCCACGCCGGCCTCGACCACCCCCTCCGCCGGGACGGCGGCCGTCTCCACCTTCGGGGCGTCCTCCTCGATGGGCGTCACGGCGCCCGGCTCATCTTCGGACTTGGGTCCCTTCTTCCCGCTCGGCGGCCCGGCCGGCAACCCCGGTGTCGGGAACAGTGGCCGCGTCTTTTCCGGCCCCTTTGCCGAAGGCCCGGCCACCATCTTCCCGGCGCTTCCGCATGCCGCAGCCCCGGCCGACCCGCCGGGCCATGGCCGGCTGCCGGGCTCCGCCAGTGGCTTTCTCGGCCTGACCCTGGCCGGCGGGCCGGCCACGCCGGCCGGTGCCCCTCCCCTGCTGTCGCTGCAGCGCACCGCCGGCGGAGGGTCGCATGACTTTGCGGACTTCGCCGGCTACTCCGGCTCCTCGGGTGCCCTGTGGCCCGGGCCGGCGGGTGTCGCCACGCCGGGTGGTCCTCGGCCGGCCGCTCCTCCCCAGGCCGGGGGCATGCCACCCGGTGGGCATTTCCCGGAGCACCTGGCCGCCAGCATGATGCACCCCTATCATGGGCATCCGCACCACCCGTACCAGCAGTATCAGCAGCACCAGCAGCTCCTCTCGGCGCACCAGACCTTCTTCTTCATCCTCCGGCGCTTTTCCAGCCTCCTCCAGTCCCCGGCGCAGCGCATGACCAGCGAGTTCAAGATGGACTCCAGTGTAGTCATCGGCTCTGGCGGCTTCGGCCGGGTCATTCGAGCGGAGAAGAAGCTCGATGGGCGCATCTATGCCCTGAAGCTGATCCCCATCTTCCAGGACAATGCCGAAGAGGCCCTCCTCCGGTTGATGGATGAAGTTCGCATTCTGGCCAAGTTGAATCACCCCTTCATCGTCCGGTACTTTGACTCGTGGTTCGACTATGGCCCCACCGGCATCATCGAGTCTGGGTCCGACGGGTACGACGACGAGTACGACGACGAGTACGACGACGAGTATGACGACGAGTACGACGACGAGTACGATGACGAGGATGATGCAGACCACAGCAGCAGCTCCTCCTCCTCCGACCGCCTTGCCACCTATTCCTCGGACTTCCTCTCCTTCGATGGGAATGGCAATCGGCAGCCCCTCTTCCGACAGCAGCGCGCCCGGCCATCCATGGCGAATGGGGATGACTCCGAGGCGGGCGACGTGGCATTCGGCTCCGCGCAATATGGCGACTCCTGCACCGACTCCGCCTCTGCCGACGCCTTCAGCCCAGATGATGATGATGATGATGGCGATGGCGATGACGACCAGGAGGACAGCGAGTCCGACGACCATGCCGCCAGCTGGAGCGACGACGAGGCGGATGACGAGTCCGGGAGCTCCTTCGGGGACCATGACACGGCCAGCCACAACACCGACAGCGACGATGGCCTCTTCGACGATTCGGCCTCCGATGACAATGGCATCCACTTTTCCCTGTCGCACACGCGGCTGTCCTCGCCGCCGCCGCCGCCGCCCCTTCGTCGCCGGGAGATCCACACCCCCTTCCGTAGCCCGGTGCATGGGCTCCCCCGGCGGGGCTGCCGATCCAGCTCCTCCGACAGCGAGGCCGATGGGGCCGGCACCCCGATTGAGCCGACCTTCTACTCACTGTCCGAGGATGCCCTGGTGGCGGCCGACTCCTCCGACCTGGCCACCAGCCTGGATGTCGCCCCCATGCTTCGGCAAGTCCGCGCCGGCGGTGCTGGCGGCGGCCTGTCCTCCGGCTGCTCCACCCCGGTCCCCGGGTCGCCCGTGCCGACGACCCTCGAGGATGGCAGCTCCTCTTCCGGCTTCTCGGCCGCCTCCTCCTCCTCCTCCGAGGCGGAGGAGGACTCGGAGGAGCTGTTCCGCAGCCTGGCCTTCGGGCTGATGCTGGATACCGGCGCAACGACCACCTCCCTGGGTGGGCCCGCCGCCGGCGGGTCGCCGAGTCTCCTCGCGCCGGCCCCCACGACCGGCCCCCTGCGGTCGGCCCTGAGCGAGTCGCTGTCGCGTGAACGCCTGCGCGACGCCGCGGCCAGCCTCCCCCCCTGTCCCTTCACGGCCGGCTCGCCGGGACCCAATGCCACGGGGTCCTGGCCGGCCTCCGGGTCGCCCTCGCCCCCCTCCGGGTCGCCGCCGCTGAATGCCACGGCGGGTGGCTCAGCCGCCCGGGCCACCGGGCTGGCAATGGCGCCGGCCGTCCTGGCGGTGGCCCCGCTGACCGCCTCGGCCGAGCCCGGCAGCCCGGTGCACCAGACGCCGGCCGGGTCGCCGTCGGGCTCGCGCTCGCACGACTCGCTCGGCTCGGTGGCCGAGCAGCCCGGGTCTCCCTCACGAGCGGCCGGCATGGCAGCCGACCTGTCCTCGATGTTGGTCCGGTCGGCCTCCCGGCAGCTGGCTCTGCTGCAGTCTTCGCTGCGGAGCTTGTCGGCCACGGTGTCGGGCGAGCCTTCCCCCGCCCCGTCGAACCCCGGGACTCCGCCACTGCCGGGGGCCACGGACTCCGGCGGGCCATCGCCCTCCCTGCCAGGCGGCGGCCTGCCACGGCTTTCGGGCCAGGCCTCGGCCGGGCCCGGCTGCTCGCCGGTTTCCTCGCCGGAGTCCGGCTTCCCGCGGTCGGCCTCGCAGCCGGACGATCTGGCCGCCCTGGCCGGGTCGGCCTCTCGGCCGATTCCCATCATCCCCGCGGAGGGTCTGCACTCGCCGCCGGCCGAATGCCCCGGCTCGGCGGCCGGGGCTTCCGACAGCCGGCTGGCCATGGTCGAGTCGCCGGCCCTCTCGCCCGGGTCCCCGACGTCCGGCGTGTCGCGCGATGCCCCGGCCGAGCGGGACACCCCGCCACGTTGGGGGCCCCTTCGCGGGGCCAGCGCCCCGGCCGCGGGGTTCATTTCCACCTCGCTGCCGGTGGCAGGCCCGGCCGGTGTGCGGGATCGCGTGCGCCCGGCGGACTTGGTGGCCGCGGCGCGGCTGGCCGCAGCCGGGGCCCCGGGCTCCCGTCGGCTGGATGCCATTGCCGAGGCGCCGGGCCCGGGCATGGGCGGGCGCCCTGCCGGCGACCGTGCCGGTCCCCCTCCGGCCCCGCCGCCCCCCTCCTATGAAGAGTCCTACATCCAGCAGCAGCGCGCCCTGCGTGAGAAGCTGGCCGCCAGCCTGCTGGCCCAGTCGCCACCGGCCGCGGGTCCCGAGGCGGCGTCCGGCATGGTGGACCCCCTGGACGCGGAGGCCGATGGCGAGTCGCTGATGTGGCACACCGGCCAGCCGCACCCCGGGGCCGATGCCGATTCCGACACCGACCATGAGGATGAGCTGATCCCCTTCAATGTGGTCCCTCGCGAGGGCCGCGCCGCCGGGGGGGGGCGGCCCTCCGCCTCGCGGGTTTCCGCCCTTGGGGCCGATCCGCGGGCCGATCCGGACTTTCACCTGCACTTCTATGGCCCGGCGGCCGGGGCCGGGCCGCCTGCCTCGGGCGTCGGCCGGACCCCGGTGATCCTCGGCGACCTGTCGCGCACGGAGTTCGACCCGCCAGCCAACGGCTCATCGCTGTTCACCCCGCGCCCGATGCGCATTGTCTCCGGCCATGCGGTATACTCGCCCCCGGGCCCGGGCGGGGATGCCAGCCATGGGGACCCCTCGCACCGCGGGGCCCCGCTGGTCCAGCATGAATCCTTCCCGGTCTTGGTGACCCCCGGCGGCGGGGGCGACACGATGTCCGGCCCGATGGCGGCCGGGGCCCATCCGCGCCCCTACCCCTCGCCCTATGGGCCCTATGGCCCGCAGTACTCGGCGGCATACCCGCACCACCCGCACCACCACCCGCACCACCACTCGGCCTACCACCACCACCACCACCACCACTCGGCCTACCACCATCATCACCACCACCAGCCCGGCGACTTCCCGCGGTACATTCCGCTGGACCGGTCGTACTCGGCCGTGGAGGCGCTCGACGAGTTTGAGGTGGCCTTCGCCGGGGGGGTGTTCTCCGATGGCGACGCCCTGGAGCAGGAGTCCCGGGTGTTCCTGCTCAACTCCGACTCGGGGATTTCCCTCAGTCCGCTGTCCTCCTCGCCCACCTGGTCGACGGCGTCCTCCTGCTCGTCGTCATCGTCCTCCTGGACGTCGCCCGGGCTGCGGCCGACCGATGTCGCTTCGTCCGGGGTTCTTGGCCTGGCGGCCGGGGGCGGCTTTGTTCCCGAACACCGGTCCGGGCGCCGGTCCAGCGCGCACATCCTCCAGCGCGACGAGTTGGCCTTCCTGCCGTCGGCGACCCCCGAGTCGGATGACGACTTTGGCCACCGGTCCGACGGCGAGCACCCGCCCCTGCCCCTCGGGGGGTCGGCGCCGCCCGTGTCGCAGCTCCATGCCCGCATGCCTCGCGGCTTGGGGGCCCTGCATGTGCGTGGCTCCCCGCTGCCGCCGGCGGAGTCCCGCCGCCCGACCACCGACGATGACCACACCGATGACGATGGCTCGGACGATGAGCTGGCTGGAGGCGGCACCCCCGGCCACTCGCGCCACCGGCCGCTGCGGACCTCCCTCTCGGCGGCCACCCTGCCGCTGCCGGCCGACAGCCGGTCCGCCTCGCTCCTGGGCCTTGATGTGCCGCCGGCCATGCGCGGGCCGCGGTCTGCTGTTGGCGCGGTGGCTGCCAGTGCCGCTGCCGCGGCCCTGGCCACCGGCTCATCGGCCCATGGCCATTCGCACTCGCTGCCCCTGCAGTGGAGCAGCCTGCCGCCCAGCTCGCAGCTGTCGCCGGCCTCGCCGCAGGCCGCCGACGAGCCGCCTGCCCACTCGCCGGTGCCGGTCGCCGTGTCGGAATCTGCCCCGACCGCCAGCAGCCGGTCCCTGGCCGGGGTGACCCCGGGGGCCAGTGCTCCCGGCTCCAGCAGCGGTGGCCTCCCCCCGGGGCCGCCACCGGCCGGCATCACCAGCCCCCGGCTGGGTTGCTCCATCGAGAAGTCCAAGTCTCGGCTCAAGCGCCGGTCCTACACCGGCGGGCTGAGTTCCTCGCTGGACCTGTCGGCCGTGGCTCTGTCCCCGAGTAGCGGCATCCCGCGGCATGGTGGCACGGCAGCCGGGTCGGCTGCCTCCTCTTCGTGCGTCGGGGTGCCGGGCAATGGCGAGGTCTCCCCGTCCGGGCTGTCGCCGGCGTCGGCGTCCTCTTCGCCGGCCTCCGGTGGGCTGTCGGTCGCGGGGGCGGCGGCCGCGGCCGCTGCGGCTGCCACCGCCGCTGCCGCGGCCGCTGCCGCCGACCGCCCGGCCTCCCGGCGGCCGGCCCGCCAGCAATCGCAGCACCACCCCCGGGTGGACCCGGCCACGGTCGGTGCTCACCCGCACCACCGGCGCCGGGTCTCGCGGACCATGTCCTTCGGGGCCTATTCCGAGGCGCCGGCCGGCGGGGGGAACCCTGGCGACCGGGAGGCCGCGGACTCGGTGCTGACCGAGCTCCAAGCCGCGGCGCTCATCCCCTCGGAACTGCGCTTCCCGCACCTGCCACTGCACTTGAATCTGCCACTTCGGGAATCGGCCGCCACCGGGGCCGCCTCTGCCACCGGCGGTGGCAGTCGCCCGCACGCCAGCAGCCCGGTGGACCTGGCCGCCGCGCGGCCGGCCCCGCCGCCGTCACCCTCCCCGCCGGCGTCGGTGGCCCTGCGCCGGGCATCGGTGGCCCGTTCGGATCTGCATGCGCACGCTTCCAAGGTCCGCCGGCGTGGGGGTGTGGCAGATGCGCCGGAGCTCCTGCTCCTGGCCCCCCAGCCACCGAGCATCGGGCTGGCCGCCGGGGCCGGAGGCGTGCCGGCCCCGGTCCCCGGGCCGGGCGCCACGTGCACACATTGCGGGGCCGCGGCCGCGGCACCTTCCCGAGCCCCGGTGGTGTCGCCGGCCCCGGTCCCGGCCCTGCCGGGGTCCGGTGGTGGCTCGAGCTTGGCCCTGCGCATGCCCGGCTGGCCGACCGGCCCGGGGCCCAGCCTTTCGACCAGCCCCGCCCACATGCGTGCGTCCCTGGGTGGCGCTGCGGCCCCGGCGACCGGGGCCGGCTCCTCATCGATGACCACTGGCACGAGCTCGGCCGCCGGGGGGGTGGCGGCCGCCGTGGCGGCCGCCGTCACCGACTCCAACTCCCAGGGGCTTTACCTGGTCATCCAGATGGAACTCTGCCAGGGCCACCTTGGCGAGTGGCTGAGCATCCGCAGTGAGCGCCTGGCCGCAGCCCGGCGCCGGTTGCGTGAGCAGTCTTCCCCGCCGCTGGAGGGGGCCGCCCTGGCCGGGGCGGCCTTCCGCCAGGCAGGCTGCCCGGCCGCGGCGCTGGTCATCTTCCACCAGGTGGTTGATGCCCTGGTGCACATCCACAATTCCGGGCTCATCCACCGGGACCTGAAGCCGCAGAATGTCTTCTTCGAGTTCTCCGACTCCCCCGGGCGCTCTGACTCCTCCAGCACCGCGGGGGCTTCCGATCACACCGAGGCCGGCTCCACGACCGGGGCCGATGGTTGCTCCACCTCGGGGACCGAGTCCGACCGGAGTGGCTCCTCCCCCTCGGGCCTGAGCGGCTCCGACTCCAGCCAGCGGACCACCCTTCCCTACCACTCAGATAGCTTCTGGGAGTCGGACTTCTCGCCGTGCGTGCGCATCGGTGACTTTGGCCTCAGCGCCTCGGAGCATATCCGGGCATCGAGTCGGCGCTCATCCCACACCAAGGGTACGGCACCTGTCGGGGGGGGGGGGCTCTTCCTTTTGCTTGCCCCCGGCCCCCTGGGGCCCCTCCATCATCCGTCTCTGCCTCCCGCCCCCCGCCCCCGCCCCCCCCCCCTTCTTCGCTCCTCTTGTGCTCACCCCCCGTGTCCCCTACTTGCTCTCCGCCCGCCTCCTTACCTTGCTCCCCCCCCCCTTTCCAGGTCTCGGCTCCGGGAAGCGTCGCCGCCATACTGCCCGAATTGGCACCCGTCCGGTATGTGCCCCTCACCCAACTGTCCCCAACATCCATCTTCGCACATGCCTGTGCCTGGACACATGCTCGCATACATGCATATACTCGTGCTGACCTGACACACACACACACACACACACACACACACACACACACACACACACACACATCTTTCCCCACTCCTTACCCCGCTCGCACGCCCAGTATGTTGCCCCGGAGCAACTCAACTCCTCGGAGTACACCGCCAAGGTTGACATTTACGCCTTGGGTGTCATGCTGATCGAGCTGCTCCACCCGATGTCCACAACTTCGGAGTTGCTTCGCGTGCTGGATGGACTTCGCCCGCGCGGGACCTCGGCCTCTGTGGCCGGCGCCACGACCGACCCCTTCCTCCAGCCTCTGTCCTACTTCCGCCCCCTGCTCCCGGAGGAGATGATCCAAAACTGGCCGCTCAAGGCCCTGCAACTGGCCGTGGCCATGACCCTCCCGCAGCCCGAGCGCCGGCCCTCGGCCGAACGGGTGCACCAGGTGGCCTCGGAACTGCTGGCCGACTTCCACATTGTCACGTCAGATCGGTACCGGTTCCAGCGCTCGGTGCCGCCGGTGGCGCCGATTGACACGGCCCCGCCGGCCGAGCCGCTCCCCGGGCCGACCCCCTCCACCCTCCCCACCTCGACGCCCACACCCACGCCCATCGTCAAGCATGCGCGGCCCTCGGCCTCCAAGGCTTCCCTGGCCACCGGGGCCCTGTGGGGCGCCCGGCCGCCGCATCTCCCCCTTTCGACGTCGCTCCTGCCGCCCTCGGCCTCGACCGACAGCCTGGTGACCCCGACCCTGGGCGGAAATGCCGGGCCGGGCGCCACCAACCTGGTGGACATCCAGGCGGACTTGCAGCTCTTCGATGGGTTGCTCCACTCGGTCCCTGGTACTCGCGAGTCCAGTCGCACGGTTTCCCCCTCCGTTTCCTCCACCAACCTCAGTGGCCTGGTCCTTCCGCCCTTCACCCCGGTGGCCGGCGGCAAGCGCCTTCCTCGGCTGCACCATCTGACGCCCAGCCGCGCCGGTGGGCCGGGCCACGGTGCCGCCGCCAGCCGCTGGGCCGGGAGCTCTTCTGGCAGCCTGCACCAGCGTAGTGCCAGCACCGCCGCCGGGTCCAGTCGCTCCTCCGACCACCTGCACCACCGGCGGACACACTCGATTGAGATCCCCGGCGGGGGGGGGGGCCATTCGGCTGGCGGCGTGCCGCCGCTCATGCCCTCCTACAGCATGTCGGCCCTGCCGTTGGCTCGGACCCCCGGTGGTGCCCGCTCGCGCCAGCACGCCGGGCTTGTCTCTTCCTCGTCCTCCCCCTCGGCCTCGGTCACCAACACCCCTGGTGGCGGCGGGCCTCGGGGCCATCTGGGCGGCCATGCCGCCCGGGCTTCCTCCCCCTCAGGCGGAGATCGCCTCTGTGGCACCGACGATGAGGAGGACGATGTCCTCACCGGCTCGGCCTCCTCGCCGGCGCTGCTGCATGACCTCCTCACTCGCACGGCCGATGGACCATTGATTCCCGGCTCCGGGGCCGGCGCCCTGCGCGTCAAAAACTTCTCCGAGGACTCGCTCCTATCGGCCACCGATCTGACGGCCACCGCTCCGGCGATGCTCATCACCTCAACCGGCCGGGGCGGCGTGCGGACACCCGATCCGCTGGACTCGCGGGACCTCCTCCTGATGGAAAAGGATCGCGAGATCCAGGCCCTGCAGGCCGAGGTCGCCCAGCTTCGCGCCCTGCTGCTCCAGCAGCAGCAGCAGCAGCAGCAACAATAGCCACTGTGGCAGGAAGCGCGCTGCCAGCACATCCCCTCCTTCCCCGGGGCGATGGGGAAGTCACGCGCACCTGGCGATCCACCTCCCCTTTCAGACACAGATCCCCCCCCCCCC